ATTAGCCAATCAGCGCGTAGTGACGTAATCATGCTTTAAATCCATCTATGTCCCACTAACACCTCCCCTTTGAGAAGATTCGTAGGATCTGGTGCTAGGGTCAAACTGCTTCCTGGGTGCCTTGCCACCCGTACTCTTACGAGCCGCCTGCTTTGTAGGAACCATATCTCTAGACAACCGTCGATCGGGCTGCTTCCCCACCGATAAGTCTTGTTGAGGCTCATGAACAGCATATGGTATAGGGCGTCTCGGACGTGAAGTAGGTTTGGCATCTGCTTTCGCTGGTAGGTTAGCCTTCAGATTCGTACAGCGGCCAAGGCTATTCTGAGAAACAGAGGCTGACTTCCTCTTTCGTTTATCTTGTAACCTTTCACCTGTCTTCTTTTTAAGTATCGGGGTGTCCAATGATGAACACGATACGCTGCAGACGCTGTTAATGGGTAGATCCATTATTCCCAGTTTTTCTAGCATATCTAGACCAAGAAGATCAAGGTTTGGCCGTTCTGTCACATAACATATTCCTCTACACTTTGTTCCGTTGAAGGAAAATTCACACTGGAATTCACCAACCAGTTTTAACACACCACCTGAAGCGCTTCTAACTGTTTTCTTAGATGGCTTCATTGGCGGTTTTCCCAGCGAGTTGTACGTTTCTCTAGACATTAAGGTGATATCTGATGCCGTGTCGATTTGGAAACGAGCTGATGCACCGTTCATTTGGATAGTAACATACTTTCTCCGAACGTCATATTCTGTTTGAAAAGCAGCTACGAGAGAAAGTGATTTAGACTCGGCTGATTTCACCACATGTCGAGTACGTTTGCGCTTCTTCTTGGGTTGAGGCGTACGATTTGGTTGGCAATGGCCTTCTTTATGTCCACGTTTATGGCACATCTGACATTTATGTTTTTTAAATGGACAAAATCGTACGTAGTGCCAATCACCACATAACCAACATGCCGTCGTTGGTTTGTTACGAGATGTTATCGGCTTCTGGACCTTTAACCTAGTAATAGCATTGACACTACTGCTGGTTAAATTGTGATTTACCTGTTCAATCAACATGTTGTCGTGCCTGATACTTTGTAGGCGTTTACACTCATCTGTCAATGTTCTGAGTGTGACGTTAGGGTCTTGGTCCATTCGAATCAAAAGTCTAGTTCTGGTTTCCGCATCTTGCGGTGACTGAAGAGCTTTGATGAATATTAAGCATTTAAATTGGTCTTCCGTCAACGAGCGTAACCTGAACCGTTCACATTCTCTGTTGACGACGTCTGCAAGAACCGCATATTCATCATCTTCGTGTTTCACCAGATTTAGACAATGATATCTAATACTAAACAATGATGCTGATTCGCCGAAAATATCTGACAGCTGAGTTACTGTCTCCTCGAAACTGAGCTCTCGAGGTAACTTCGGTAATACGTGGTCAGCGTAACGTTCATACTCATTGCTTCCCAACTTACGCAGCAACAACCGAGTCTTCCATGCATCATCTTGTTTACCGAATTCAATTCTAAATGTATCTTCCCAACGTTTGAACCACGTCAGAAAAGTATTTCCACATTCAGGATTATAGACGAATTCTGGTATGCTGTTAGCCACTGCTTCACAAGACGTATTTAAAATAGTATGTGGACTCGAGCACTGGATGTTGAGCTGTTGAGTTAGGGTCTCCAACAACCGCATTTGTGCATCTAATTGTGCTTGCTGTTGTTGTAGTATTCGGTTAAGCTGATCATCTGAAATAGGCATCTTGAAATTTTTTTCCTTTTTCTCCGTCGCCACTGTTGTGACGGTTAGTTAGGATATTTCCCGGCTAAATCTTATTGCTTAGTATTCTTGACACAAGACACTGGACAAGTAACACAAATCAGAACACGGTTGAACAGGAAGGATTGTATTCCAAAATAGCAAAGAAAAGAAGCTGGAGGTGATGGCGAAAGCCAAGGCAAAAAGGCTTGAAAGCGAAGAAGGCTAGAAGGCTTGAAGGCAAAGATAAATACAATGCTAGTCTATTTATAGCCTTTACATGAGAAAACTTCTGGAACAAAATTCACGTGATCGACTGGACTGGTTTTGACCAATCAGCATGCAGCTAATAAGACGAGAATTTTCTATCCTGTTCTCCAAGCTTCGATCAGGCGCTGATTTGGTAGGAAATTAGCCAATCAGCGCGTAGTGACGTAATCATGCTTTAAATCCATCTATGTCCCACTAACAAAGTACATCAGTTCAGGTTGACATACCACATGAGCACAGAGATGTAATTGTCAATTCAAATCCAATAGTAGAAGAGGTAGTAAAAGTATTAGAAGTAATCGGAGAGGTTAGGATTAGAAGATATTATTCAGGAAGTATGATTCAGTGAGATAAGTTTAGAAAGACAAAACCAGAGGTGTTGAAGAATCCAGAAGATTAGGATTTGATATGACGCATAACTTTATTCATCTCCATAAGACACGCCATATTGGTCGGTACGTTTGCTTATTATCTTACTTGATAACTGTAATTTCCTTAATTATCGTACTAATCTAATTGTTTTTATGTTTAGAAACAGATAAAGTTGAAAAGCAAAATTTGTCTTGTCCTGCCTAGAGCTTTCCCACAGACTGTATGCTCGCCAAATACATCTGTAGAACAAATTAAATCCTACAGCCAACGGCTGGTTGGATTCCGATTCAGTGGTTAAGAGGTTTACTGTGCTCAAGCACCAGATAGAAGGTCGCCAATGTGCACTAGCACAAAACACCCGCCCAGTGTTTAAAAAATTTCTAATGAGGTGATCTAACATTGTACAGTTCATGATTTCTATAAAACTTAAAAAATCTCCTTACTAGCGATCTAAAACTGAAAGAGACTGGGGATTTGTCAGTATATAACAAATCCATCATGGTTAGGGTTCTAAAAAATGGTGCAACTCAGTAACTTGATAGATTATCAAGCACAGGTCCTATTATTGCTAGGCTAGACATGTGATGATAAGCGAGTAAGCGTCCACATACAATCAATAATCGATACTGTTATCGAATGATTACAGTTACAAAATTATGGTCGATACAACTGTCGAATTTCCCTCGGTGAATAGTTGTCGTACTTATTTACTTACGCCTGTTACCCCCAATGGCTCAAAATCGTTCGCAATGGCGCCGGTGCATTTATTCTTTGTGTTCTCTCAAATCCTAATCTTCTGGATTCTTCAACAACTCTAGTTTTGACTTTCTAAACTTTTCTCATTTAATCATACTTCTTGAATAATATCTTCTAATCCTAACCTCTCCGATTACTTCTAATACCTTAACTACCTCTTCTACTATCGGATTTGAATTGACAATTACATCTCTGTGCTGATGTGGTATGGCGACATGAACTAATGTACTTACGTACGAAGTTCTACGTTGCAACTGACTGACTGACCCCCAATGGAGCATAGGCCGCCGACCAGTTTTCTCCAACCAACTCTATCCTGGGCTTCTGCCAGTAGAACCTTCGGGGCTACTACCGGTCCCAAGCCCGGATAAAGGAGGAGGGTTGGGCATAGGGTTGGTGACCCCATCCCGTCAAAAACTAACTTGCCAAAAAAACGCTAACCAGAATAGTTGTCGTGCTTGGCGTTTAATGCTTTTGTGAAGGGTTGATGATCTGTGTACACTGTGAAAATGGTGCCCTCAAGCATATGTCGAAAGCGCTTTATTGCCAAATGAATTGCTAGCAGTTCTCTACCGAACGTACTGTATCTCGTCTGCGTGGGACTTAATCTCTTAGAAAAGAATGAAATTGGTTCCCATCTGTCGTTTACAAACTGCTGTAATACGGCTCCAACAGCGACGTTCGACGCGTCAGTCATGACGGCTAATGGAGCTTCGTTTTTTCATCGTACCAACAGTGTCTTTTCATTTAGCGCGCGTTTAGCGTTCTCGAATGCTTGTACGGCGTCTGCTGACAAGTGAAATGTTCGGGCACATCCTTGCAAAGCGTCTGTTAACGGTTTCAAAATTGCCGCGCAGTTCGGAATGAATCGTCTATAGTAGTTAATTAGCCCGAGGACTCGTCGTAATTTCTTTTGTGATTCAGGCAACGGATAATCACGAATAGCTGCAACTTCTGGTGGAACCGGTGTGATACCTTGAGAATTTATTATGTGTCCTAGAAATTGCAGTGACTTCTCTCCAAATTCACATTTCTCAACGTACACATCAATGATCTTAGAATGACGCTTCCGAAGAACACAGGTGAAGGCAACCGAATTGTATTTATCTGTAAATCGTTAATTTGCAAAATATCAATCCATCATATCGAACTGGACTGTTCCTGTTGCAAACATCAATCCATTGTCTGACATTTCACTATTCATGCGTTTCATACAAATCCCATTTTTTTCCCACCCTTCCTTTCTTGATCTTCCCCCATCTTCTGCTGCCAGACATTATTACGTTTACACTCGCGTCATATACTACTTATAAGTAGCGCGCACCACAAGATTAACATCGGGTATATATTCCGAAACAACTGAACGACAGTACCCATGTATTTATCAGAAGAGATAATGTGCAACGTCCTTTACAACCGACCTATGATGGTCCATTTACAGTAAGTAGAAGAAAGGATAAAACCATTACGGTTGATAAAGTCTGGAAAAAAAGATGTAGTTAGCGTCGACCGAGTCAAACCAGATTTTATTGAAAATGATGAATAGCTGATAAGTACAAATCGTTCGAAATCCATCGAATCACCAAAATGCAAGTTACAACCATCAGTGAGTGACATCAACACAGTAAAGCGAAGAAATTCGACTAACGACTAGATATGGACGAGAAGAGTCAGGTGGCCGGAAAGATAATATATAGCTACGATTTTAAATTGATAAATTCTATTTTGTATGATGCAAAGTGACAGTTTTTTTGTTTGGTGCCCAATTGTATCACAATTTCAGTGTATTTTATTAAATGAATGAATGAATTGACTGATTAAAACACAGATTTAACAAAATTTGAACTTACTCTCCACGTCTAGCAAATTCTATTGATTTAATAGCAGCATTTGCTGCTGAAGTAGAGGATTTAAATGAACTGATCAATTGGAAATCGTTCGTTTCATATATACATACCTATTACATACATACATATATATATATATATATATATATATATATATATATATATGTAGTTAAGAAATACATTTTTACCATTTGATATGAAGTATAGATATTTAAAAAAAGTTTATAAATGACAGATTGAGAACATAATTATTACCCCTATGATTAGATTATGTAATAGTTGAGTCAGTCAGTCAGTCAATCAGTTGTGACATAGAACTTCGTACGTATGTACATAAGTTCAGGTTGTCCTACCACACATTAGCACAGAGACGCAAATGTCAAATCAAATCCCATAGTGATAGAGATAGTAGAGGTGTAGTGAACGAGTGTGTCTGGCAGCAGAAGATGGGGGGAGATCAAGAAAGGAAGAGTGGAAACACAATGGAATTTGTATGAAACGCATGAATAGTGAAATGTCAGACAATGGATTGATGATGGATTGAAGATTTGCAAATTAACCGTTTACGATATGGTTTTCCTATTTTACTGAGTAACTCTGTAATTTACGATAAATAGAATTCGGTTGCCCTCACCTGTGAGTTCTCCTTCACTACAGAGGTATTAAAGGTATTAGCAGTAGTCCGTGAGATTAGGATTAGAAGATATTATTCAAGAAGTGGAATCTAGTGAAACAGACTTTAAAAAAAGAGGAAGATGAAGTGATGAAGAATTGAAAGGTTTGAACCTTTGCGAGAACACAAAGAATAAATGCACCTGCATCATTGCAAACAGTTTTGAGTCATGTCATTCAGGGTCTCTTAACCATCAATTGCTAACATCTCGTAAACCCCAACCAGGTAGTTTACATGTTGCAATATGAATCAGTCCACTTGTTAGTGAAAGTCTTCAACAAATTAAGGATCACTATGTCATTGATAGAATATTTGATAAACTGAAGTGTTCTGATTTATTAAATGCTCGAAATTCAAGCATTTACGAAAGACAGTAAGTAACAAACATGACAAGCAATTCATGAAATCAACACAACACTTTGTCCTATGTAGTGTAGGAGACAAAGTGGACAGCCGCTTCAGCTTCGTTTAGCAGTCAAACGCCACGACAACGCTCCGCTTATATCAATACATACCGACAATTATGGACACACATTCGATTGGATTAATGTAGAAATACTGGGTAGGGGCAGGACAAAGAACACTAGAGACTTTCTAGAAGCTTGGCACTCAGGTCAATCAGCAATCAATGAACACATCGACGTTGACCTAATTTATCAACCAATCAGGAAAATCAAAGGTGACATAGGATCAAGAAACAGATCAAAAGGGGGATACAATCAAAACTAAGGTGAATGGCAACCAATCAAGATCGAGTTTAACAGAGTCAGCTACGGGTCAAACGTGGAGAAATTCGTATGCTTCACTTCTATCTGGGGTTAAAGCTGATGGTGTTGTTGTTCAGCAGAAGAACAATGAAAGCTCCACAATCAAAAAATCCAGCTCAGAGAACCAAACACCACCACCACAATCATCATCCACTTGAGCTACAAATCTTCTCCACTATCTCACAATGACAATAATTATTTGTTAAACTTACTTTGCCTTTTGAATTTCCAGTATAAATATAACGACCACGACGATCATATGAAGCAACAATACTAAGATCATTCTAAAAAGTAAAAAAAAAATCGATAAATTAGAACATTGAACTTTATCAACTGAATAACTATTAAATATCATAACAAGACTTTAAACGTTTTGGGCTAGATGGATTTTAGTAAGAAATCGTTACAAAATGGATATTCAGTCAGTCAGTCAGCGACAAGGTAGAACTTGGTAAACACGTACATCAGTTCAAGTCAGTATACCACATAAGCACACAGAGATGCAATTGTCAGTGCAAATGTCAGTCAGTCAGTTGCAACGTAGAACTTCGTACGTATGTACATAAGTTCAGGTTGCCATACCACATCAGCACAGAGACGCAAATGTCAAATCAAATCCCATAGTGATAGAGATAGTAGAGGTGTAGTGAACGAGAACACAAGTGGGGCGACCGAATTGTATTTAACGAAAGTTACAGTGTTACTCAGTAAAATTGGAAAACCATATCGTAAATCGTTAATTTGCAAAATATCAGTTCATCATATCGAACTGGATTGTTCCTGTTGCAAAACATCAATCCATTGTCACTATTCATGCGTTTCAAACAAATTCTATTGTTTTCTAACTCTTCCTTTCTTGATCTTCCCCCATCTTCTGCTGCCAGACATTACGTTGACGCTCACGTTACATACTACTTATAAGTAGCTCGCACCACAGCACCACAGAGGTATTAATGGTAATGAAGAAGACTAGGGTTTGATTCAGTGAGATAAGGTTAGGAAGACAAAGAGAAAGATAGAGATGATGAGGAATTCAGAAGGTTAAGATTTAAGAGAGCACAACGAATGGATCATTAAAGCATCCTTCAAAACAAAGAAGGAGGATATTACAATCAACGTCATCCAATGCTATGCACCTACCAACGACTACAATGACGACGACAAAGATCAATTCTACGAATGGCTGCAGTCAATAGTCGACAGATGCTCACCAAAGGATTTGACGATTCTAATGGTTGGCATGGACAACACTGGATGTGAAGACAACATGGGGCAACGTGAACTGGGAGAAAAGAACGAAAACGGTGAGAGATTTGCAAACCTATGTGCCTTCAACAAACTGGTCATCGGCGGAACAATATTCTCACACAAGCGCATACACAAAGCCACATGGGTTTCACCGGACCACACTACTCAGAATCAAATCGACCATATCTTTATCAATTAAAAGTTCAGAAGGACCATGGAGGATGTGAGAACCAAGGGAGGAGCTGATATAGCCTCAGATCACCACTCGCTGGTCGCTAAAATGAAACTGAAACTGAAGAAACACTGGACAACGGGGCAGACAACATCACACAAGTTTAATACAGCCTTTCTTCGGGATACCGTAAAACTCAACGAATTCAAGATAGCCCTCACCAATAGGTTCTACGCCTTGCACGATATACTCAATGGAGAGGAAACAACCATAGAGAACAATTGGAAAGGGATTAAAGAGGCAGTCACTTCAACATGTCACAAAGTTCTGGGTCACAAGAAACACCATCACAAGGAATGGATCTCTGTTGGTACTCTTGAAAAATTGAAGAAAGGAGGAAAACGAGGGCAGAAATCAATTTCAGCACAAGTTGAATACACAGAAACAAACAGGAAAGTGAAGAACATCAGAGCTGACAAACGAAAATATGTGGAAGATCTAGCAATGACGGCGGAAAAGGCTGCAAGAGACGGAAACTTGAAACAATTGTACGAAACAACAAAGAAGCTTTCCGGATACTATCGTGAACCAGAACGACCAGTGAAAAGCAAGGAAGGCAAAGTAATCAGCAAAACTGAAGAACAGCGAAATAGGTGGGTAGAGCACTTTAAGGAACTCTTGAATCGACCAGCTCCACTGAACCCACCTAACACCGAAGCAGCATCCACAGACCTCCCAATTGATGTTGGCGCACCCACAATTGAAAAGATCAGTATGTCCATCAGACAAATCAAGAGCGGCAAAGCAGCAGGACCAGACAACATTCTAGAAGAGGCAATGAAAGCAGATGTAGAAGCAACTGCGAAAATATCTCACATCCTCTTCAAGAAGATTTGGGATGAGGAACAAGTACCATCAGATTGGAAAGAAGGATGCCTGATCAAAATACCAAAGAAAAGCGACCTGAGCAAGTGTGAGAACTACAGAGGCATCACTCTTCTTTCGATACAAGGCAAAGTCTTCAATAGGGTATTGTTTAACAGAATGAAGGACTTCGTAGACGCCCTACTTCGAGATCAACAGGCTGGATTTCGTAAGGATCGATCGTGTACTGACCAAATCGCTACATTACGGATCATTGTGGAACAATCAATTGAATGGAACTCACCACTCTACATCAACTTTATCGACTAAGAGAAAGCATTTGATAGCGTGGATAGAAAAACACTGTGGAGGCTTCTTCGACACTACGGTGTGCCTGAGAAAATAGTCAACATCATACGGAATTCTTATACTGATGGATTCAACTGCAAAATCGTGCACGGAGGTCAGCTGACAGACTCTTTTGAGGTGAAGACCGGTGTCAGGCAAGGTTGCTTACTCTCACCCTTTCTCTTTCTCCTGGTGATCGACTGAGTTATGAAGACGTCAACATCTGGAGGGAAGCACGGTATTCAGTGGACAGCTAGGACGCAGCTGGACGATCTGGACTTCGCAGATGACCTGGCTCTTCTATCTCACACGCAACAACAAATGCAAGAGAAGACGACCAGTGTAGCAGCAGCCTCTGCAGCAGTAGGTCTCAACATACATAAAGGAATGCAAGCATGTTCGGGATGCGGTTCTCACCCTAGAAATGCAAAGTGTTGCTTCAAGATCGGGTCGTATCAGTACCTGAACTAGTGATAGAGAGTGAAGTAGTCGAGCGTGTTGACCGCTTAACTTATATTGAGAGTTTCATCAGCGCTGATAGCCTAGTGACCGACGAAATCTCAGCATGTAGACAGAAAGCTCGATTGGCTTTTGCCAACTTGCGTCATGTATGGCGCAGGCGAAATATGCGTTTGCTAACCAAAGGACGAACAGGGCCGTTAAGAGTAGAGGACATTCGTAGATTGCTTGTTTCCATCACAGGTGTTTCTGAAGCATTGCTCGTACATCCTGGCACAACCGAGTGAACAATGCTATCGTTAGGAAACGAGTTCTAGGTAGAGATGGCAAATCAATAGATGAAGTATTGAAACTTCATCCGTTGAGGTGGTTGGGACATGTGTTACGTATGCCTAACCACCGACTGCCTCGACAAGCTTTGTTTTTTGGTGCAGGAGTAGGCTGGAAGAAAGCTAGGGGCGGCCAGACCAAAATAAGGCACAAATCCATGAAGTCACTGACAAGTGGACTGAGTCATATTGGTAGATGTAGGTTACCTGGTTGGGGTCCGTGAGACGAAAGTCAGCGATGGTTTGAGACCTTGAACGACATCGCTCAAAATCGTTTGCAATGGCGCAAGTGAATCTACGCTTTGTGTTATCTCTAATCCTACCTTCTGAATTCCTCATCATCTTTATCTTCCTCTTTACAAAGTTATCTCACTGAATTATATTTCTTGAATAATATCTTCGAACCCTAATTTCTCCGATTACTTCTAATACTTTTACTACCTATACTAATATGGGATTTGAATTGACTATTGTGTCTCTGTGCTAATGTGTGGTATGACAACCCGAACTTATGTACGTACGTACGAAGTTCTACGTTGCAGCTGACTGACTGACCTCCAGAAGGTTAATGAAGCAGCCTAAAATACGAAACTACATCAGCGGTAGATGATATCGACGAATAAGTAAGATGATTAAATCATGTGAAAAGGACAAAGACGTTTACAGAATACCCACACAAAGAAGCAACAACGAGAAAAAATTGACGTGCAATCTTATTTTAAGCAGCGACAACTTCAGCTACGAAAAAAACAATATTTTGTCATTTAAAAGTACCAAAATGATAAAATACAGAAACAAATCGAGTTGCTGCTTACTACTAGTGGGAACCAGTGAACTATTACCATATTATTTGAGACCAAACTATGATACAGCATCAATTCATGAAATCAATGGCTGAGTCTGAGACATGTTAGAAGATACAGATCACCTGATTGGGGTCTGCATGATAACTGCAGTCAGTAGTGGGAGATTTTCGGTATTCTTTAGAATAGTTTAAAATGGTACAGATGAAATCATTCTTAAATTTCATCTTGATCGTGACTTATAGTATTTCCTCGTAAATACCGTTCAAGTCATATTTCCAAAGTTGTTTTGCTCGTTATCATTGTCATTACATTTGCCATTCAGATCATTAGTATCTCTTCGTTGAATCGCAACATATATGATTATATCATATGATGTAAAAGATGCAACTTGCCATATAGTGAGTTACTCATTGGGAATTAAGTTGTCTATTTGGACAAGTAAGTTGTTTTATGATCTATGTAGTAAAAATAAAACCTGCTTTCAGACTAAACGCTGAATTCTTAGGACTAGTTAACTCTGTGGATTCCAAAAAACTAAGAAAACGATTATTCAACTAAATACACAACTAGTCGGAGTAGATGAATCGATAAATAATCATGGGTTTCAAAGCCAAAGAAGCATGTCTTGCAACCTGATAGGGACGTTTGAATTGTAGGAAAAAATTATATTAAAACTAACTTCATCTTCAGGTTGTATGATAGTTGGAACACCACTTGGAACACTGATAACTACTGGGGCATGTCGCATCGGACAAACAAGTAGTTGATCTGGTTTCCTTGCATTGAATTGAACCTTCATCACGGGACAAGGAAATTGAAATGTTTGCTCACAAGCACTGGATAGTACGTTCCAAATAGAAATTGTATTGTCGGTAGAAGCGCTTAGAAGTTTTTTGCTGTCTCTACTCCAACTAGATAAAGCGATGTCTTGTTAAAGTTACAATTTACCTTAAGGAACAAACTGGGTGTGCATGTGCTACCAAGACTTTGGAGATACGCCTTGTGACATGATCCCAAATTTCTATTCTCCCATCATTGCATCCAATAGCTAAGAGACTTCCAACTCTATTGAACTGCAATGTGATTGCATAAGTGGCACAGCCAGCATCTTTGCTTCCATCATCTTTCTTAATTCGTTCTAAGTAACCATCTGCAGCCTGGAGAATGGAAAATGAGACTAATTTCTTACTTCTGGATAATTTTGGTGAAACGCTTCTACAAAAAAATGTGGTAAGTTAGATAATGTGAGTCTTACCTAAAAGTTCTAAATTCATCAAGAAGTAACGTAACACTTGAATTACTGCAAGATTTCTAAGTATATCCAATATCCAATATCTTTTTAACGATTTAGTATAAACTAATTGATTTCTTCACACTCGATTCTTTTCCTTTCTTTTCGGTTCCAGATGTTCGGTAGTGTCCAATGAATGGGGGTCTAACCACTCAACTGTCTAATTCTAGTCACTTGTCAGTTGGTTGTGAGTTTGTGTTTTTGGATTTGAATGAAAACGTTTGTAGGTCAATGCTGGTGAGCTAACTGAGCATAACAGCTCGTTTATAAATATCATGAAGAGAAGTGGACCTAACATGGTCCCCTGTGAAACTCCCGATGTTGATACTCGCCAGCTCGCGTGCACTCTGTTTACCTCTGTAGTGGGACGCTTCTACGAAGAAAATACGATTTGTGAAAAATAAACATTATTGTACTCGTTTTTTTAACTGTACCAAAAACACTACTTCCACTTCTTGCGTGCAAAGTTCTCTTCGCGTTGCTGCCATTTTTCTTAACTTGCTGCTCTCCATGTAATGCCTACTGTCTCCTTCAATAAAATATTAAACCATGGACTTATATTGATATAGGTGACGGGTTAGTATGGAACATTTAGTGGCGATCATAGTCAGTCTGGTATCTCTCACCACTAAAATTGGTGAGCCCGACGTGATTTTCGCACTAACGCTAGGTACTTGGTGACCACAAGTGCCCAAGTTTCGGTCGTATCGTTTGGTAGCAGTAAGTCATAAGCCACGATGCTTCGACCACGCGCTGCGAATGGCTCTGTCATTCCTACCTAAGGTACACGACAGCTAACGATCAACCTGAATAATCGACGACAGTATCTGTGGACGTTCGTCCTTTCTGATGTTCCCATAGCTGTACTCGGTATCGATTCCTTACAGCACTATCAATTGCTATTCGATTCACGTAGGCTGATGAGGTAAATGTGCAAAGATCTGGTTGATATTCATCAGCCAATAAATTTACAAGCCCCTGGGAAAGTAACCAAGTCTTCGGCAAATCTCCAGGCTCATATATAAGGGTTGTAATAAGGGGTTGGGAAAAGAGTATTAAAGAGAATGGGGCGAGGAGCAGAACGGAAAATAGGTTGAAAGCCGAATTATAACTCAACAGGTACTTTTTTAAAAATTGAACACTAACTGTACAACTGCTGTTATGTAGATTAACGAAGACAGTTCAGTAGTGAGATAACGAATTGGCAGTTAATCATATGAATAGAGGAAATTCAGAAGAGCCAAGTTGTTAGCAATAATGTGGATGTACAAAATAAAATAATGTGGCACAGTGAAATAAAAATATTGTGGTATTTTATTTATTCTTTTTATTTTTAACTCTGTAGCTCAAGAAGTCATAAGTGAGCTCTATTTCTGCATAATTGTCCAGATCTGTTTGTCATAGGATTTCTTGGGAGGAAGTGAACCCATTGCAAGGGTAAAAACATGAGACGTAGACGAGGTTAACAAGGGAAAGTAACATCAACATCACTGATTTGTTACATCCGGCTATATCGTAAGGAGCCGTAAGGAAACAAAATGTTCTGCTCCAAAGACATGGGTAGATTGAGGTTATCGCCCTGTGGTGCGAGCTACTTATAAGTAGTACATGAAGTGAGTGTCAACGTAATGTCTGGCAGCAGAAAATGAGGGAAGATCAAGAAAGGAAGAGTTAGAAGAACACAATGGAATTTGTATGAAACGCATGAATAGTAGTGACAATGGATTGATGTTTTGCAACAGGAACAATCCAGTTCGATATGATGAACTGATGTTTTGCAAGTTAACGATTTACGATATGGTTTTCCAATTTTACTGAGTAACTCTGTAATTTCCGCTAAATACAATTGGGTTGACCTCACCTGTGTTCTCGTTCACTGCAGCCCCACCGTCATGAATGCTGGTCAGATAAACCACCCTCTCTACTTTTGTGATGTTAGGCCCTCTTATGTTTAATGCTTGGTTGTAAATAATGTCTTCTAGTCTACTTATCGGAATTAACTTTCTCTACTAGCTCCACATTACAAGCAATCCAGACAATTTTGTCTTCTGTATCCAAGTAGCATATCACACTGATTTGAAGTAAACTAATGGTATAATTTTTACTATATGTAGTAACCCTTTTGAATGTTTTGTTTTTTGGAAAATCCCTCCATGTTTATATATATTTGTTTTGACATGACGGACTCTTTCTGTTGACATTTTGGTATTTTATTTGATTCCAATTTGAGATTTTATCATTGTATATTGTTATTATTTCTATATTTTGTACTTATATTGAAGTTTTTATGTTTGCTTCTGAACTGTACATATGTTGTTTAAATTTAATCTTTAATATGGCTACAGCCATATTTGGATTGATAGTGTGGCGGTTGGACTTATTACCTTTACCTTGGATACTCCTCGGAGTAATTGTGCCTTGGAAGGTGCATCAACTTCAGGTATTGCTTTGTATTTCCATCTTTTAATATAATATAGACCGTTTTCTCCTAGAATTGTTGTGTTTTTTTGGACATTGGACTGGAGAATAGCGACCTCAGCATAGTTTTGGAAACTGTTGATACTTAAACAAGAAGGAATTCACAATAATACAGGGATTTTGAGTTCCTTGTAACTGACAGTAGTTGATCAGTATCTACAGGCTTTTCAATCTGTCTGCTAGAAACAAAAACTAAAACTGCTGTGAAGATTAGAAACTGATGACTGATATTTAAATTTTAAGAAAAGTCCAAATGTCAGGGGAAGCACCTCAAAGGCGTGATGTTTTACTGTCAGTAGGAGCAGGGGGATTTGTCTATCATTTAGTGATACATGTATGGATGGTAATGCGGGCACAATATGTTCATAGTCTAAGGTTTATTTCAATATTTGTTGGACCACAAAAGAGTGCCTCGGCACTCAGTGTGAGTTCCGGGAATAGTCGACAAGTCTCTTTAGAGTCTAACAACAGCATTACTAGTTTTTCTAACTTGGTGATTGTGTCACAGATACGGATAGCAATTGGTAACCTGTTCCATAATAGACTGTGTCATGTTACAAAGAAATTACAACGCAATGATTTTTTGTGTTTGGCTGTAAATAGTGTATATGCGTTATTTGTAAGTCTGAATTCAGTTTAGTGGTTTACATAATTGGGCGGTATTTTACGAACGAGAAATCATATATCACTTTACAGAGAAGTATTACGTTGTTTTCAGCTAATGGCGCCATCAAGGTTTTGGGGAAAGATACTTGCCTCTTTCTGTGTGTTGGAGGTTATGGCTCTATCCAAGCAGTCGCTGGGTGAAGCTTCT